AGTTTGACAAACAAAAAAGCTAATGTGGCACTCTAGTTGGCAAGTAACTAGGCTCCTACATCACGTTTCATTAGTAACGCTCAACAAGCTCATCTAAAAATTTAAGCTACTGAAAGGACACATTTATCAATTTATTTATTTTCTTCAAAATGCCCCCTCATTGCAGGCCAGATTCCTTTTTCAACAAAGGCCCATCTAATGCGTGCACAATGTCCATAAATGGGCAACAAGATTTGAACTTAAAGAGTATTGGATGCTCTATTACCAAGTATAACCACTTCATCTGAAAGCATAGCTGTTTGAGAGGGGACATGTTCAATAATTTATATTTTGTCTTCATTAATTCAAACTAGCCGATGCATGGAGTGGTAACAAAGTGTTTTAATTTAGTCATCAACTAAAAACTAAATGAGTTTCAATTATGTACCATGATATTTTGTTGTGTATTTAATCATTTGATTTAATGAATTTAAAACAAGTGTGAAGCATTTCAATGGACAATAAAAAGGATAAATCCATGATATTTTTAGTCCAAAAACTGTACATTACCTAATACTTCTTGTGCTGTAAACCGCTGCTTGGGATCAGGGTTGAGCATCTTTTTTACAAGGTCTTTTGCATTATCAGAAACCTTAGGCCAAGGATCTCTTTTAAATTGCACAACGGACCGAATTATTGCTTGGGCAACTCCTTGTTCGGTTTCTGCAATTCAGAAGGAGAGTTAGATGCAAGAAAAAGTTACAAATGATTGCAGTATGCACTTCCAGACATCAAGTTAGGAACAGATTTATCTTCAATATTTTGTCCCCTTTGTTTGGTTATTATTCCTCTCATGATCACAGTACCAAGTACTTCTTGACGTGCTGTAATATTATCAGGATTATAAGTAATCCAAAATTCAAAATTCTTGGCGGAGGAAGAACAATATCACCCTTTTGTTCAATAAGATACCAAAGTGGGAGTCACTTATTCCACTCTAGAACCAACACACTATTGTCAATGAAATAGAACAATGCAACAATTTAAGCTAAACATGTCTACGTTTTTATTTGTTTTATTTTAACATGGGATGAATACAATTCCACTCCCAAACCTATCAGCAATCTCAAGTTCAGAGTCAACCACTCTTCCAGAGCAATGTCCAAAGAGTTTAAATTAAAGTAAGAAAGAAAAATAATTGACCTGCCCAAAATGGTGGAACACCGCACAATAAGATGTAGAGAATTACTCCAGCACTCCAAACATCCACTTCTGGACCATAGTATCTTTTGAGCACCTCCGGAGCCATATAATAAGGACTACCAACAATCTCATCAAACTTCTGGCCTATAAAAGTACAATTGGATTAGCTAAAAGGATCGACAATTGATAATTGTCTGATTAACAATTTATTAGTCTGCATTAGACCAATAGATATCAAAAGGCATTACCAGGCTTGAAGAATACTGATAGCCCAAAATCAATGGCCTTCAAGGGTGCTGTTTCCTTCTTATTTGCAAACAAGAAATTTTCGGGTTTAAGATCACGATGCATGACTCCATGCTTGTGGCACGTCTACAGAGTGACAGGAGATAATTAATTCACACATTGAACCTCATTTAAAACATGATTTCTTTAAAAGGAACCTCATCGGATAACTTTCCAAAGGTTCAAACATCCTATAATCGCTTGATCAGAAATGAAAATACAAAGATGTAAACCAATGTTCCTAAATACAACACGGAGTAGAGAAAGCAAAAGACAACACTTGATATTCATCAGAAATTGCAAATGCTAGAATAGTACAAAATTGCATGTAATTAGACTGAGAAATATATTCAGGTAGCCGTTGTAACTATCATAATATACCAAGAGATGAAAAGTTTTGGGGGTTGCTCAGGGACGATGAAAATCATTAACGAAAATTAGAAAAGTAAATCAGCATTGCTAAGTTTTCAAATATTACAAATTCTAGCAAGTCTAATTAAAGACTATTTTGGATAAGAATTCTGTCGTATTACTTCAAAAGTTCGCTCACAAGTAAGTTTAGTTATTAAGTAAACAATAAATTTTTTAAAATAAATATTTTTTATAGATCAAAATTAGAAATGATTTACTTAATTGTCACCGTGAAAAATGTACTTGCATAAAGGTGTTTCATGTTTGGAAACAAAAATTACTTAACTTTTACTTGTATTTAAGCATACCCACACATGATCAATGCACTCGAGTAAATTTTAATACTTCACTAGCAGAAATCACGAGAATTCATGCATCAATCTGAATGAAATTTTACTACTCTTGCAGCAAGTAATGAGCAAAAATCACATCAATTAATAACCAACAAATTCAAATCTATAAATCTGAAAACATCTAACTTCAAATAAAGCAAGCAACATCGAAATACTGAACCCTCACCTGAATAACTTCAACAATCGTGCGAGTAACAGCCGCAGCAGCCCTCTCAGTATAATGTCCCCGAGAAACAATCCGATCGAACAGTTCACCACCCTCACACAACTCCATCACTATATGAACTGCATTATCATCCTCATAAGTATCCTTTATGCTAACAATGTTCGGATGCTTAGGCAAATGCTTCATAATCTCAACCTCTCTCCTAACATCCTCAATATCCACTCTAGTCCTCAGTTTGTTCTTCGATATTGATTTACAAGCAAACAGTTCACCACTAGATTTATCAGTGCATAAATATGTAACCCCGAATTCACCTCGCCCGAGCTCACGCCCCAACTCATAAAACTCCTTAATGTTATGGCCTGTTGGATTGTCCAATACATAGAATTTGAATCCACCATCTGGTATAGTGAAATTATCGCCATGAACTGAAAAGGGATTTGGCTTATTCTTCTTTTTAATCTCATCAGACGTTTTTGGCGCTGCACAACAATTCCCCATTGATCAAACCTTCAAAAATTCGACCTCTTCTGTAAATATTTCAGCCAAAAAAGGCTGTAATCCAAAAAATGGGGCTCAAACAGGGGCTAAATATGAGCAAAAACAGACCAAAACTCAGACTTTGTCCCTTTTTGGATCTTTCAGCTTTTTGGGAGTCTTCTTAAAGTACAAACAGTTGTCAAAGACAATAAAAATCCAATCTTTGTGATGAAATAGTATAAAACAAAACTGAGCTATCTTCAATAATTAAAAAGCTTCAGAACCCACCGTGGAAATCTCTCTCTCAAAATTCAACTGAAATTCAGGTTTTCAAATAAAAGGGGTTAAGGATGTATATACCAAGAAAACTATCAATTTTTTTAAGAGAATGAAAAGGTTATATCTACAAAAATGTGAGAACTTGGAGGAATATCTACAATACCCATAAATTTGGAAAATGGAGGAGAGGTTTCTTAATTTAAGAACACAAGGGTAGGCAAATTTCTTAACTTTCCTATTATCTCCATAGTTTTTCCCTCTCTCCCTAACAAATTTGAAGAGGCATCATGGACAAATAAGTCATTTCACATACAATTGTGCAAGTCAGAATGAAATTGTCAGCTTCTAGAAGTCGGCAAATTTAAGGTGTCCAATGTATAGGCACCAGTTTTTAATTATTCTGTTGAATGGTCAACGGTTGAGGTCTATTTTGTCATTATAATTAATAAATAGCCGCGTTGACTGCGCCAACTTTGCCAACTGATTAATATTTCTAATTTAAGGACTATTTTTTAAAAAAAATAATAATAATCACTATTTTAAAATTTATTTTTTTATCAAAAACACGTTATAATGGAGCCCAAATAGGGGCATAGTCTTTTAAAGAAGAATTAATGACAATTTATGATTGGAAAATTCAATGATATAAAATGTGATTGATTTTGTATTTTTCCGTGAGGTAAACTATGGATATATATTTTAAGTTAGTCCATAGGTAGACCAATTCAATCTTCAAGATTGCTCTCTAATTATATTATCCTCGTTGTTAGGATCATGTCAAGTAAAGTTTGTGTTCGGTTATTGTGTTACTAACTGAAGACCCTTATAAACAGGGACGAATTTAGGATCGAACTACAAGTCGAATTAATATGTAAAAAAAATAAACCCGTCTTTGCTTATAAACAAATTTATAACTTATAAGAATTGGTTCAAAAACAAAAAATTAGAATTCGTTTGATAGGACTTTTGAAAAGTTAAAAGTTGTTTCTAACACTAAAAAATTATTTTTGAATGTTTTTAAATAATTTTTTGAAAGTATTTGTTTAACTAAAAGAGTTTTTAGAAAAATATGATTAAAAGCTCTTCTAAAAATAAAAGCATTTGAAATCTAATTGGTTACTCGTTGGATCTCAAAATTCGACATTCAATCGAAAACCATTTAAATTTTGAATTGGCTTACCAGTTCAATTTTTTTTTTGGAAGACTAAATCGACTTATGATCTTTACCCTTAACAAAAAATAATAAATCTTGTGGAGGACACTTATCTCAAATTGTTGCGTATCTTTTTCCTCCACATGATAAAATCATAGAAAATGAATTTGATATTACAAGGATAGCAATTTGGATGCTCCTTTTAGCCATCGGGACAAACCCGGTGGTTTTAATTCGAATAGAAACTATTTCGATTATATTTTTGTATGATTCTAAACAAAAGAAAAACACTCGCACACACTTTTACATTGTACTTAGGTACATGATTCTGGTTCTTTTACATTATAATGAACGAGAACATGAATTTCTAGGAATATTTATAAATAATAAATTGCAAAGAAAGAGATCCCCTTTTGAATCTTGCATATTCGTGATTTCTATGTCACTATATTTATCCCGTAAATCGGGATGCAAAAATCATTATCTAATCGTATACCTAAAGTATGAAATTCTTTGAGTCTCTCCTGAAAAAGCATAAGCTATAGGCCTTCTAGGAACAGTGCCAAAACGTAATAGTACCAATGGAGCATGATGTATCTTGTACATAGTTGCATTATCCGCCACTGTTATTCAAACGCGAGTTTGTCAACAAGAAGCCAGAAAATCCTTGAGGCACATCTGGAATTAACTTTCACCGCGCCTTCTTTGCCATCTTCAGGTTCTTGCACATTCGAATACTCTGGGGAGTAATTTCAACCAGCTCATCTTCTTGAACGTACTCTATGCAGTCGTCCAGGCTGTAATCCAGTGGGGTATCAAGAACCACTACATGTGCCAACCAAGAAACTAATCAATAATCAAGTGCATAAAAGCAAGAATTTTGCGAAGAAAAACAGTCCAAAAGCACAAATAAGTATTTATTTGCTTTCAGAGTTTCAGTTTCTCTGTAATATCGTCCACCAGGTTGGGTCGTTCCATCTTTGTTGATAAGATATAAAGCAAACATAGTGATATATTTCTTCTCCAGGGACCCTTATATCGGGTTCATGAATTGTATTCGATGCTGAATAATTTAAACGAAAGACAAGCTACGATCCCATTAAACATGTAAAAAATCTTCAACAATGTACCTGTTTGTTCTTTTTTGGAACGGATATTTGTTGCACCTTTTTTCTTGCACACATTCAGGGACAAGTCACCAGGACGCTGATGAATTCCTACTATTTGACCTTTATAAACATCGACTCCAGGGCCAATGAACAACTGTCCCCTTCCTTGTGAACTCGAAAGAGCATAAGATGTAGTCGTTCCATCCTCAAAAGCAACCTTAAAAGATTTATACACGTAAAGACTATCTGAAAATGTAGTTAAAATCTCAATGAAACTTGTCTGAAAATGAGTTTCGAATAGTGATTGTTAAGATAGTGTGCAGTTAGAAAGTAGAGTAATGCTATTCATCCCCATTGGGAATGAAAACACAGTCTACGTGGCGTTAATGTGATATTAAATGATAGGTGAAATTAAATAAATCATGTAGTAAATTATAAAATAAATTAATATGTGTCAAACAGACACTAAGACACGCTTCCACACTTAAAAAATATAAAATTGTGTCAATTATGTTGAAATATAGATATATAAATTAATTTACAATTCTTTAATAAATTAAACTTTTAAATGATGCGGTCATTCATTCTAACATTAGAACGGCTGGTATTGTCAAGTCATTTATGCAAATCCTAGGTGTCGAGTAGGCTTTTTTTTTAATTTAAAAAATACAGGAAAAGGTTATTTTTGTTGAAATAGAAAGTGTAAAGCATATCTTTTTATATATAAAAAGTGTCTATTTAACGGAATTTGTTGGTTTAACGGAAAAACTAACGGACTTTGTTGTTTTAACTGATTATGTAACGAAATTTCTTGTTTTAAACAGGCAGTTGCACCTTCTTTTAGTGTTTTTATCATAACTTTGTATTCCAATGTTCGATTGAGGCGATTCAAAATGCGTTGGAAAGCTAACCCATCTGGCTACAACTTTGATTCAGACATCATTCTCCAATTCGATCACTTTCTATGCCAAAAATATGTCTCAATATAACGGACTATGTAAGGGAAATGTATTCGATGCTGAATAATTTAAATGAAAGACAAGCTACGATCCCATTTAAACATGTAAACAATCTTCAACACTGTAGCTGTTTGTTCTTTATTGGAACGGATATTTCTTGCACCTTTTTTCTTGCACACATTCAGGGACAAGTCACCAGGACGCTGATGAATTCCTACTGGTTGACCTTTATAAACATTGACTCCAGGGCCAATGAACAACTGTCCCCTCCCTTGTGAACTCGAAAGAGCATAAGATGTAGTCGTTCCATCCTCAAAAGCAACCTTAAAAGATTTATACACGTAAAGACTATCTGAAAATGTAGTTAAAATCTCAATGAAACTTGTTTGCATAGAGGGTTAGAAAGTACCAGCGAACCCAGGTCGCGGGTACTTATATCACCAGCCCGTGGTCCATATTCATCAAATATCGTGTTAAGAACTGCCGTGCCTCTGGATGCTGTAAGAATGGAATTTCACAATCCAAGGAGACCCCGGGTCGGAATCTTATATTTCACCGGAGTTGTTCCTTCCGACCTAATAGGTAAACAGGGGTAAGTTATTAAGCTACAATTCAAGATAGCAAAGGCAAAATAATGGAGAAAGATAATTTATCAGCTCAAAATCTTGTAATGTGACTGAGTAAAGGGATGAGCAAATAAACGAGACTTTCGAGAACATACATACTTACAGATATGCATACACACATCGAGACGCTTATTGTTAGTATCAAAAGTTAAATCTAAAACCAAAAAAATTATCCTCGTCCTTTTTCAGAAATGCTCAGCATTCATATCGAATGAAAAGCTGAATCGAAAGAGAGTAATTAAATGTTTGAGATCATGCAATGACTGGAAATGTAACTTCAGCATGAGAGAACTATGAGATAAAGTACCACTAAAATAACTCCTTCCACCATGTTGAGAATTCGCTCCACTTCACCTCCAAAGTCAGAATGGCCTGGAGTATCAATGATGTTAATTTTTGTATCATTATAAGTAATTGATGTATTTTTGCTAAGTATTGTTATTCCCCTTTCCCGCTCCAGATCATTTGAATCCATTATCCTCTCTTGTACATATTGATTGTCACGAAACACCTGCACAGAAAATTATAGTAGAAATTAGCTTTTCTTCACTTCAACCAGATCACCCTAACGAATAATGAACTGTTAGCAAAATAACTTTTGATACATTATTGGTGGCCACGATAATTTTAAAGGAAAAGACATTGTCAATTTACCCAGAATCATGAATCTCACCGCTTAAATCAACACCCCGATAACCTTTCTATACTTACTGAACAAATGTTAAAAACTGTATCATTTTTAACCCTGGTTGGGCAATTAAAAGAAACTGGATATCAACTTCATCATTTTGAGATTCATTAAATCAATATTGTTTTCAATAATGAAACTTCCAGAAAGTGGAAGTAGTATAATGATGGGAGGCAGAGAGTAACTCCTATAAAGCATTTATTTTGCTTGAAGAAGTATTTATAATGTCCCGATTCCTCCTCTTCTAGTAATTTTCTTGGATTATTGGAATGCCGGCATCCTATTGCACTATTTGCATTCACCAAGATCAATATATATGGATAAGGTATTACACTACATCAGAAGGAAAAAATATGTTTGGAGTAATTAAAAAATTACTTCCTAAACTTGGATGAGGTGATTAAACAAAAAAAATCGTCAGGTAATTAATTCCTTTTTGTCCAAACTTACCAGATCATTGGAAAAAAATCCACGAAATGAGTGAAATTAAAAGATTCTCAAAATGACCTATCAAAAAAGAAAAGATTCTCATAATGTTCTCATCTTAAAGCATGTGCCACCTCATTAACTGGCCCTTTTTCTCTGAAGCAGAGTTAAAAAAACAGAAAATCAGAATCCAAACTACATATATGAATCAAAGTGACATGATTTCTTTTATACTGTGCTATAAGAAACATGTTTGAGAGAGAACGCGAATAGAACATATATTAGCAGTTCACCTCGCGAATTATATGAGTTACAAATGATAGGCTTCAAGATCCCACTTAGCCATCAACATCACAGAAAATCGAAATGCAATAGCAAAACCCTCAAGGCCAGAGCAAGTAAAATATTCATGTAGGACGTTGTAAATTTCACAATGCACTTAGATCTCAAACTAACAAATGCTCATCTGGCTAAGCTTACGAAGGAGTAGGTCTAAAGTAAGTTTTTGTTTCCAAACATTTAAATATGTTACCTTTTTCTTTTTTTTTATTAAACAATGTTGCCATTTTAAAAGTGAATCATATGTTTGGATAATAAGTAGCTTAAAAGTAAATTTGACATAGTTTTGAGCAAGGGAAAACCTACTTTTATTTCCTACGTTGACCTTAAAACTTACATAAATACTTATAAACTTTTAAGCTTAGAAAACGTACTCTGATTCAGCGGTCGAAGGGTACTTGCCTTTGTATAAAAACATACATTTTTTGACCGTGGAGCTGTAAAGTTGAATAAGCCAATAGCATGCCCTCACTTACACTCTCACGGCCTTTGGCCTTGATGCACGTCAAATTTTGGACAAATTCCATTATTTAGGTCCTCCTTTTAGTGTTTTTGCCGTTTATGATAATTTTTATTTTGGCAATATTTTAATCAAATAAATTCGGATTTGATTTCCGAGTGTACACAATCTTTTACACCCCTTCACATGAAGGGGGCCCACAAATAATAAAATATATGTGGGCTTCCCTCCATGTGAGATGGTGTAAAAGATTGTGTAAATTATTATGTACACATAACACTTCCTTTTGCATTCTCATTTACACTTCAATTTAAGTTTGGTTAATTGGTTCCAATGAAAATATCTAAATTCATCAATTAACTTTATTATAATGGGAGTGTACTGTTTCATTTTTCTCTTCACGAATAGTCATTTCTTCTTTGTGAGCTAATTTTCTTTTTATTCTTCATAACAAGTGACGACGACAAAATAGTCAAAAAAAAAAAAAATACCAATGGAACCACATTTTCATTTTATTATCCGATTGTCAAACTAATAAATATGGAGATAGAACTGAATTATATTGAAAGAGAAAATATTTTCATAAATATCACATTGTCCTTTTATATCCACCAATCGGTCAATCAAGCTTTCATCAATTATTGAAAATTCTCCACTACTATTCATGCAGGGGCGAACCCAGCACCCGACGAGGGGGGTGGCCGCACGTGCTGGATCCGTCGGAGTCTTCAAAATAATCAATATCTCGGGGTAATCAAAGAGCTTATCTTAACATCTGTGTCAGTTGCCGCCGGAAGAAGAAGATGAAAATTTTAAATTTGGGCTTTTTTTTTTTTTTGCCCTTTTGTTTTAGGCTGGAGAGAGTTGGGTTTTTTTTTAAAATATTAGGCCTAATAATTGGCCAATCGATGGTCCATGGGATGGATAATACCCATTACCCAGCAGCTTGCTGTTAGCAATTACCAAATCCAAACGTGAAACGTCTCCAAACCTTCACACTTCGCCTCTTCGGTCGGTTCTCCGCTTCTTCTTCTCGGATCTCCCTGCTATGTGGAATAATAAAAGTGGACAGTTCAATTTTTATGAAAGAGATTGAGATAAAAAATGTAAATAATAATAGGTTATCACATCATCGATATTTCATTATCATAATAATAAATATCATCATTCTACTAAGTTGGGCACTTGTGTGTAATATTATTGGGCTGTAAAAAATAGTGGAAATTACTCCCAATGCATCATATTTGATAAAATTTAAAAAAAAAAAATGCTTTGTAATGCTTTTTTTAGTCTAATATTACTTTAAATATTAAAAAAAATAGAGAGCAAGTCACTTCACTCCTAATTGATAATCAATTTGGAGCTAGTCTTGATACGCCAAACACGTCCCCTTACACAAATAAATCAAGTGAAAATTCCCCAATTCATGACTATGCAGTATGCATATTCGTGACCATCTAGAATCCTCTCAACCCCACCAAATAAACCGATCTTGTATCATATGCAAATCTTATTCTAATGAATGCTTCAAAATCTTTTATATATTTGTATCTTTATTTTCAATGTAAGCGGTGATAAGTCTTTTATACAAAATCTCATTCTCCATTCGTTGTTTTTTGAAATTTTATCGACAATACAAATTTCACTTTTTTACAATTGCGAATTTCTTTTTGATGAATAGCTATTGAATAAATCAAAGAGAGTATGAGTAAACCACACACTAGCCTAAAATTCGGTTGCCCATTATGAATTTTTGAATTGTGTAATGAATTTTGAATGGGCATTGAATGTAAAGCTTAATATCGAGTTAATTTAAAAACATATCAGTTACAAAAGACTCTTTGACATCTATATTTGGTATAAAGTAATTCCTAAATTCATTATCAATTCACACAGTATTTTATAAATTATAACCATCACATAGTATATATTGAAATTTTATTTTATAATGATGTAGAATTTGATTTTTCTGCCTTAAATGTATGTTCAAAGCCCATTTAAGAACTTTCTAGTCTGGGCTAAATTTAGAACATGTTTGACAATCGTTATTTTAGGAAAAATGAGTTTCGAATAGTGATTGTTAAGATAGTGTGCAGTTAGAAAGTAGAGTAATGCTATTCATTCTCATTGGGGATGAAAACACAGTCTACGTGGTATTAATGTGACATTAAATGATATGTGAAATTAAATAAATCATATAATTTCACGTCTCATTTAACCTATATTTAATTTCACATATTATTTAATGTCACATTAACGTCACGTAAACTGTATTTTCATCCTCATTGGAGATGAATAACATTACTCTTTATGGTGTGAATGTGTGAATAAAAATGATCATGTAGTAAATTATAAAATAAATTAATATGTGTCAAACAGACATTAAGACACGCTTCCACACTTAAAAAATAAAAAAATGTGTCAATTATGTTGAAATATAGATATATAAATTAAACTTTCATATGATGCGGTCATTCATTCTAACATTAGAACGGCTAGTATTGTCAATAGTCATTTATGCAAATCCTAGGTGTCGAGTAGGCTATTTTTTATTTAAAAAATACAGGAAAAGGTTATTTTTGTTGAAATTAGAAAATGTAAAGCATATTCCTACTAAAACAGACAATGTAAATTCATCATATTTACTTTACACCGGTTAAATGTTTTTTGTTCCAAAATCATATGACATGGTACACAATTGGTCTACGAGAATAATGGATTTACTCTAGCAAATGAGTTGGTATATTGAGACGAAACTTTAGCTCCTTACAAATGGTATCAAGATAAACATCTGGTTGCAGTTGAACGAAGGCGGTAAGATTGTTTGTGTGTACCTATCATCATTATTTGCAAAAATGAAAAATTCTTCAGGGCACAATTATAAATAATTTGTTTATAAGATAATCCTTTTATAAAATATTTTCAACCGAAAGCATTTCAAGGTACTAGATTCATTAGGTAGGTCCAATTTCTTTTCTTTTATCTTTTCGTTAATTTCACTTTTAAAAAAAAAAATTTTAATTTGTAGTTGACGTCGTTCAATTGAATGTACTAAACATGTCGATATATTATGCGGGAGAAACTTTGACACCTATTAAGGTATGCCCTTTCTTCCTAGTTCTTAATAACAAGATTAGGTACATTAATGTGTTAGATAGAACGTTGCAATTAAAATAACTAAACGCTAACAAAATTATCAATTATACAATCTAACTTACGTATCAAACGTGTAAATAAAATATTCTCCATTCTACTAACCTACCCCATCTCTATATGACCAAATCTCCTTTTTAGTTAAGAGGCAGCATCAACTGAATGTACTACCATGTTGATATATTACGCAAGAGAAATTTTGACGCCTATTTAAGGTATGCTCCCTTCTTCCTAGTTCTTAATAACAAGAATAGGTACATTTAATGTGTCGAATAGAATGTCACAAATAAAATAACTAAACATCAAACAAAATTATAAATTATACATTCTAACTTTACGTACCAAACATGTAAATAAAATATTCTCTATTCTACTTATCTGTCCCAATCTCTATATGACCAAACCTCCTTTTTAAAAAGAAAAAAAAAGATGAGCCGTATCCTTGACGACCCTCACCTGCCCTGCCATGGGCATTGGCGAATGAAGTAAATCATAGGTTATGCCTCCAAGGGTATAGGATGGAAGACTGCTTGTACACTTGCACTTACCCAATGACCAAATCCATATTTCAGGATTCGAACCCTTGACGCTGCAGCCTCAAGCAAAGTTGGAGTTTTTTCACCTTCCCCTTTTACTACTTGGAGATGTGCCATGGGGGCAACCAAACCTCCTTTTTAGTTAAGAGGCAGTATCAAGTATACAGCAATTTCTCTTGAACCGCCAGAATTTATACAATGCCATTGTCCAATAGAAAACTAACGCGTTGTCTGTATTAATTCTAGCAACAATTTTTCTATACAAATAGCAACTTTCTCAAGTATATATTCTAAAGTCCTGCTACATAAACAGGCTCGATGACAGATTTTTAAATAGATAGACATTTGACGAATTCTCATTGGAAGTTGAAAAAAATATAATACAAAACATTGCCAATCAGTCAGCCCCTAGAACATGCTCCTGTCACTACGCCTATTCGTTTGGCTTAATCCTATATTCTATGGGCGTATTTGGTAACTCGTACACAACATGAATGAATGACTAAAAAAAGAGATGCATATAAAATTGTTTCGCCCGTTTTCGCTCGCTAACAATTAAAAAGGGAATTAGACGATTGTGTAAGGGACAAACCTCTTGGAACAAAGTCCCAAAAAGGGGCGTTTATTGAATATGAAGATTACAGTTTGGACACGAACAAGATGCCTCCAAGGGGCGCAAGCACACAAGTACAAGGGAATTGAAGTAATTAAAAATTAATCTAAGAAAAGTAAGTTACATGTTCTCTGTTTTGAGAGTGAATTTTGTCAGGCTTATCTTCGCTGTCTTCTTCCTTCTTTTATACGGCCTGGGCAGTTTTGATTGTTTAGCAACTGCTTGTAACTACCCACTTCTTTCATCATCGTCGGCTGGCTAAAAACTATCATGTGCAACTCCTATCACTACGCTCTCTTCATAACTGTTTGCCATCAAATTTCTCAAATCGTGAGGCGTAATTATGATGTGCTCAAACCGTCTTAGATCGTGATTTTGGATAACAACAAACTTTGGTCATTTCTGGGACTTTGGGCGACTCAGTATTCTTGGGCGACAATTGATCTTCTGCTCTGGGCGATTGTAGGGTGTTTCATTCGCTCAATATCTGGGCGTCCTGCAGACTTGGGTGACGTCGTACCTTTGTCTTTTTGGGCTTTCATCATATTTAATAATATTTCTGGTTGGGCTTTTACCCTGATCTCTCTATCTGGGCTCCTTCTTTTGAACAATTCCCTTTCTTGGGCCATTTGATTTGGACTGCCTGTTTTGTGTGTCAACAAAAATATTTTATATTATTATTATTATCAGGGGCGGATCCGGGGGGCCACAACTTTTGAGGGTTTTATTATTATTATTATTATTATTATTATTATTATTATTATCAAGTAATGTTTGAAATTGATTGAAATCTAAATCAAAATTAACAATTAATTTTAATAATATATTTCATGGAATCCATAACTATTTAATTTTTAACAAAATTTACTAAAAAATTATTTTAATCTACACCAAATAGGGGCAAAATTACAATAAACTTGAATTTTTCTATTTTCCTCCTGGCTTTTAACAAAATCTTAACCCTTCTAATTTTTTAAAATTTGTATATAATTTCTCTACAAATTTTCACATTTACTACAAATTTTCACTTTCCAATCAAATTTTCAAGTAATTAGAACCTAAATTTGCATTTTTCTCCTATCAAATTATATATATAAAATGTGTCTGAACTCATTATATCAAATTTGACTTATATTTAACAAATTATGTTTATTTGATTGATTATTAGTATTGAATATTAATTATATGTTTTTCCCTTCGATTACTTGAATTGATTATTTGTATCAAATAAATTATAAGATTTTTAAACGTAAATATGCATTTTCTTATGATAAACAAAACATTAATAAAATGATTCTTCGAAATCAAATTGATGAAAATGATTAGCAAAATATTAATGAAGAAATGTTTTTTAAATGTAAATCTGCATTATCTCGAATCAAGTATGAATCATTCAAAAATGAAGAACAAATTATTCTATTTGTACAAAGTTCGATTGTGCCCCCTAACTCAAAATGTCTGTGTCCGCACCTGATTATTATATTGTCTAAATTCGTTCAACAACATGTCTTATTGGTCTGTAAGATAAGATGAATTAAGCACCACTAAATCATATTGTAGAAGAAAGCAAAATTAAAATATTATTTACAATTTTCCTAGTCGTGTCCTCCAACGTACACAAATGTTTTTCAAACCAACATGGCTTGTAAAGTTGATGCCATCTAGCCCCTGTTTGAAATCCATTTTTTTCTCATTCCATTTCTCATTTTTTTTCTCTTTCTTCATTTCAATCACACATTTTATCAATAAAATAATATTACACATAAATCTAAAAATTCTCCTTACTTTTTAACCACACAATCTTCCATCAATCACTATTCCGAAAATCATTTTTCAACTAAAATGGGTATCAAACAGGGGCCTAATGAGCATCAGTATTCATGGCAATAGAGTTTCATCATAATTCCTTGCAAAGTAAGATTCATTATTCCTGGGCAATTAAAAAATTATCCCCTGGCATCTCATCTCCATAAAGCTTCAAAAATATAATCGTGAAAGAGAGTAGATGTAGTATGTCCTTGTCCATCAAGAACCCAAATCCAACTTGTGGGATTTGAAATCCACTACATGCTCTAATTCCTTCTTGATTATATGATAATCACCTCCATTACCAAGAGAAATATTCACAAATACAACCAAAAAAAAAAAAGGTAAAAAGTTTGAAGAGCCCTTACAAATAATGTCATGTCGATCACAATCGAATGATCTAAGATTAAACTCCACACAGTTCTGCAAAATAAAAATATAATATAAGTGCCTACCATTCAAGAATGAAATTAATGTAACAAAATAAAAGCAATACACCTTATCCTGGAAACGAAATTATTCTAAGGCCCTCTCTGATTCCAACGAATTACATGAAAAATGTCACATCCAAGAAAAACAAATTTCACTTTGACCGTTCGGTTACAACTTGAAAATGAAAATCGAATTCCAAAGTACAACCATTTTAAGCAGCATTTTCTTTGTTTTCATGGAAAACGAATTCCTACGAAATTTGATGAGTTTTTATTTTCCAACTAACATGGAATTGAAATTCATTTCTACCTTTGTCTATCAAACGTACCCCAAGAGAAATAGTAACCAATATATTCGGAACTAAGCTCTTGTTTGATAAAGATTTATGAGAAGTGATTCTAAGAATTTTATTTTTGTGAATATGTAATTAAAAATAAGGAAAAGTTATGAAAATTATTTTATTTGGAAAATATGTGATTGAAAATGAAGGTGGGAAAAAGTGATTCTTAAATAATCAAAATCAAGATGGGACTAAAGTCGATCCCAACTTACTAAACAATATAAAACTGAAAACAAACAACACGCTAAAGTATAGTAGTTCGTTTATGTCCTATTAAACGCTGCACTTCACTACCATGTAAAACAAGAATACCAAAAGTTTTCTCACGCCAACAACCCACAAAAGACTCTTTTATAGACTAGGAATATTAGGTCGATCTGCAGTCGAGGGGAGCATGATTAATCTCCCTACAGTCCACACAACTAGCATAAAAAGAAATGAAAATGAGACAGCCATTCAATAAAGAAAGAAATAAGGGTACCAACACAAACATCACCTTATCCAAGAAATGAAAATATTCCAACTTACAAAATCAGATACTAAAGTATAGCATTGTTCTCTTCTATTTTCCTACTAACAATATGGAAGCACCAAATTGACATGTATTAAATCACCCTAGGAAGTGTTTTGATTGCATTGAATGATTATGCTAATCCAACAAGCAAAACAATAAGGAATATAGACCTAAAATCAGTAAAAATATCAGTAATTGGGCATAATGCTATAGTTAACCCAGTAATCTCATCCTTTCTATTACCTAGTTTAACTAGTAAAAGATTAGTGTTTTCTTGGGAAGTTTTGCACTACCCTTTCTACTTCTTACCCAGCCAAGTTGCTTCCTTTCTGAAGCTTGTTACCACAAAAACCAAAAAATCAAATGCTGATCTATTTCACCGAAATCTTATGTTTTCAGAATGTGGACCTACTTAAAGGCTCGGTGAAAGTAATTTTGATTTTACTGAGCCATCAGCTGATCAAGCTTCATCTGCTCGAGCAATGCACCCAAAGCAGTAGATTGATCGATATGTTCAGCCTCTGAATCCAAATTCGGATTCTCACCAGTAGATGTAACCGAATCAGCAGTGCAGAAGACACAAGGTGCAGATTTTTCCTTTGTTTCCTGTGGGGATTCTTTAACGAGTGACTGAACCCATGATAAATCAGGCTCCTCGGCACCGTTCAGAGTTTCTAATGATGATGATCTCTTTAGCTTACCAAACTCGTCAGCATTGACCGCCCAGTCAGGCTTCCCAGTAGATGATCCCCAGCTTGACCATGCATCTTCTGAAGAGGCAACAGCAGCCATGGCATTGGAGCCAAGATCACGTGAGCTGAGACTTCGAAACTGTTTCTTATGCTTCTCACTTTGAGCTAGCATTGACACACGATAATTTATTGATGACATATGCTCCATACTGCGTGGTGACATCCTCCCTGAAGACGGAAACCCAAAAGGGGCCTGCAATAGAGCGTGATCTATGTTTCTTGGTGAAAAAGGTGTGTCAACTGGGGATAGGATGTTCTGTTGCTGCTGCTGGAATTGATTAAGAAGTGCAGATTTATGAGTTGGGGAGAAAACATATGTATCAGTATATCTGGGAGATGAGCTCTCAACAGAAAAAGCATCCTCAAGATTTGAAGGAATNACAGAAAAAGCATCCTCAAGATTCGAAGGGATTAAGGTTTTTGATTGAACAGAATGGTTCAATGAATTGGTGTTAATACTTGGTTGGGATAGGCGAGATAGTTCATTCAAGAACTGCTTCTGTTGGAAATCAAAATCTTGTAATAAACTCAAGTCTTCAGGGGGGATATCTCTAGCATTCAGTGATGTTCGCAGGCGACTGGACTGGAGGTTGCTTCCAGGTAAATGCAGTGCCGGAACATTTTGTGGGGGCCAACCCATATTTGACATGCCATTTGTGGAAGGAGACATAGGCGGAGTAAATGGAGATGAAGGAGAACCCGGTAAAAGGCTCATTGCTGCAGTGAAATCCATGGCATTAGCAGCAGAGGAGCTCGAGCGAGGAGAGAGAACGGCTGAACCTGTCGATACATACAAGGGTCGGAGCTCCTCTTGTGTGTGGGCAAAGAAACAGACTCTGCGGTTGCAACCCGTTCCATCTTTGCAAAGCCGAGTCCGGTATTGAGCCGGGTGAAGCCAGCACTCAAAAACTCCGTGAGCATATTCACACATGTCCCCTCTACGGCAAGCCCCCTTGCGAAAATCAGGACAAGGTACACAGCTGTAGTGGTATTTCCTTGGATCCCTTCTTCTAGCATTTTCACCCGGGTGAACAAATGGGCACTCGGTCCAATCATGTGAGTATGCACGAGAGCAAGGTCGAACCTTAAATGAAAACATTCTGAACTCATCTGTAGAATAGATGCTATTCTTGATGTCAGGCAAAGATGGATCGATGGGGTATTCTTTCTTTTCTGATGCAAACTTTGAGCTCTTAGGAGAAGCCACCAACTCTGAAGGAGATGACGGGGATCCAATACAAGGAGGTGGTGAAAGAGGTGAAGAAACTGAATTTGAAATGGTTGTTGACACTCTAAGATTGAGTTCTCCGAACGAGGCATCTTTTTTTAGAATCGTTTCAAGAGAAATTTTCATTTCTTGAAATTTCGGAGGGACGATAATAACGTCAGCGGGACAACAGCCATTTGCATCCGCCAGATTTGGATCAGCACCAGCTGCCAAAAGCAGTTTCACAACATCAATAGCCTTAACTGATCCACCAGATGCAGCACAGTGAAGAGCAGTGCCCTTGTCAACGCCAGATGATCGATTCACATCAACTTCAGGTGAAGAGATAATCAGTTTCAAAACATCAAGGCTACCATAAGTCGCAGCCACCATCAAAGGAGTTCTTTGATGAAAAACCATTTGCTTCGAGCTCTTTTGACGTCCATACCACAGTCCAACCGCGTCAATACAGGACGGTTCACGATCAATTGATCTTTTAAACCCCTCTATATCATTGTTGGCAGCAAGTTCAAGCAAACTGGCAAAAGCATCTTCAGTTTCAACATTTAAACAATTATCATTCATGATTGTAGTTCTGTACTGACAAAGGGATCAGGAGATGATACGAAGTGAATTTCTTCTACGGTCTAATGACTCCAGTCCACAGCTAATGCTTTTATTTCTGAAATCCAACTGGCAAAGAATTCTTGATATTAGAATTAAAACCAAGAAAACAGTAATCCTGAAACGAAAATATTAACATAATTAGCAAAAGTCCTGCAAAGAATAAAATGCAACTGCAAACAGGAATAGCAATTGATTGATAGCCAAGATGTCATCAATATGTGGGATGAGAGTGGGGAGCTACAAAATAAATGAGAGGTTGAAAATTTTGTTAAATTAATAAATTATGCTTAAAAAAATTTCAAAGTAGATAGCATTGGGAAAAAATTATAATTTCTTAATTTAGTAATTTACAAGATAGATTTAATCAATAGAACTAAATTTGCATTGCCTATATTAGGACAAATGTCCAACTCATCAAAATGCTAAACAAAAATAAATAAATAATTAGGGTTTGCATCTCTCATTGTAATCATACACATTACACAGTGCAATAATCATAATAGAAACTGAGCTACATATATTAATAATCAAATTTATGGATGTATCAATTAACAAATAGCTACTAAGAATAATTTATTTAAAAATGAAGAAAGAAAAACCTATCAAGAAACCTAAAGAAACGGGGGGAAAAATCGGCAGTAAAAACAAAATTAACAACATAAAATTTCTAAATTTATCTACCCCAATTCAAGAAAAATAAATAATGAAAATCAAATTGAAACAACCCTTTCAGAATTTATACGCATGCCCATAAACTCAAACTCGCATATAAATATGGTAAAGTTATTTGTACATAATAAAAATAATCAAGATTGCAAACTTATTTAGTAAAGCATTGTAAGTCATATGCATACAGACACATATATATACTTATATTTATATGTAAAATACATAGAAGTAGAAATAGTTCTACCAGTTAACAAGAAAAAAGCAAGAGCATCAGCAGCAACTTCGTCAGGTAAATATTTTCTTGAATATGTATATGTAGAGAGAGAAAAGACACAGAGAAATACAGATTTTACAGATCTGGAGAGAGAAATAGTAGTATGAGAGAAAGTTGAAGTGATAACATGAGGAACTGCTTCCTCTCTCTTTCATCTTCGCCATTTCCTATGTTGTATCTATGTTTTTTTTACTCTCTCTCCTCTTTTTCTTCCACTGGTAAATACTATCAGTATTTATTAATATAATAAAGTGATAGATTAATTAATATTTGGGAAGAAAACAGAGGCGACTCATGTTTTGAGTGAAATTTCATTTTGGTCCTCAAACTATTTTGTTCCAAATTCGTGGCTAAAATTTTCAATCACTGATTAGATTGAACCTGAATTGGCCGAACCGAGTCTGGTCGATTTGATGAGATTCTACCTTATCCATGTTCAATACAGATTTTTTAAAACTTATTTTTCTCAAATTCATTTTTAACATATTCTACAAAAAATAATTTTAATCGTAGACTCATCATTTTTTTTAAAACTTTTTAACGATACATGTTTCAAAATCTATTTTTAAAAAATCTATATCAAATGTACCCTTCAATTTTAAGCAATTCTGAGTACTACAAGAACCAAAATCTTAAAACTTGAAATTAACCATTTTTTTAAAATTACATACGATAATGTAATGCACTAACCACATGGAAGAATTAACTATTTTGAAGAAAATTGTGTCCAATATGTAAACATCTTAGAAAAATTAACTGATCTTGCCAAAATTCTCATAATTGATTTTTGGACTTATTCAAGAATTAATATAGATTTTCTAATTACAATAGTGGAATCAATTGTTCCATTTATACAACATTACTAGTTTGGTTCAGTTCAGTTCTATTCAAAATTAGATTTAATTTCGTCCTTAAATTCAACATTCTTTTATGTGAGGTAGCAAATTTTTAGTTTGTTGTGCTAGCTAGAGTTGTAAATTCGTGTTTTTAACACAAAAGAGTTCAATGAAAATCATGTTTCGATGATTAGACATAATTTGATGAAACCATAATGTTCGTGCGGCAAGGAGAAAGATAGACACTGTCACATTTACAAAGTCAGAAGAACTTTCAGATAGGTTTTAAAGTTTGTCTATCAAAATTAAGAAAACTCCACCATATGGTACTAGCATTGTGAAAAAATTGAGTCGTGCTTTGAAATGTGTTCTTTATGCAGAAATAAATGGTCATTTGCACAATAGATTATTAACAACCCACATTTAGGGAGTGTTTGATAGATATTATGAGGAAATAATGTATTTTAAATAGTGGTATGATGGAAAATATGTGGTTAAAAAGTAAGGAAATGTCATTGATGTGACCATTGATGTGACGAAAAATATTATTTTATTAAAAAATATGTGGTTGAAAATTAGTTTTGAAAGAATGTATTTTGAGAAAATATGTGTCAAACATGAGCTTAGAAGAAAAATTACGAGTGACTAAAATGAATTTTTGCTTAAAATTGGGTGATGTCCCATGTTTTTGAACTTTTAATATTGTAGGCACAATTCTTTATGTTCTGTTGAAATGAACGACTGTCCAATCCAAACAATTTTATATGCACGCCTAGAATAATTTATAAATACACTAGACATTTTATCCCCTGCTTCTCGTTTTTTATATTCCATCGTGTCTGCAAATAGAATGATTTGCTTATTCTTTATAAAAATTGAAATTTTTGATTTTTGTGTTGCATAATTTTAATTTTTTTACTAATGCAAATTTTGAAGTTCTGCTATAAAAATAACATTCAAGTCGAAAAGGCAATTTTATTTTTTTGTTATAAAGTTCAATCATATTACGCTTACATTCTCCCCTGCATTAACTTTTACACTTTTCTATGTGTCAAGATTTACACTCTTGATTTTGAACATATGCATCACATCGTTATACAGATTTTTTCCACATATGATAGATGTCAACCACATTTCCAAAGACAATGTACATATAGTTTAATTGATAGAGTTAACTCTCTATAGTTTAATTCATCAATTAATTACTTGACTTGAGTTAATACTTTGGTTTATACAGGCACTTTTTCTCGTGTCATCGAAAAAAAAAAATCATTATAATTTCTTGAATTTTTAAGTATACTCCACTCATACAAAATTATCAAGTAAATCGAGTTGATATGAAAAGGTTACGAATCACAATGAAGAATTAAAATAAAATAACTTCTAAATTGAAAAAATATACATTTCTTTAAAGTGTATTTGACGACGGTCATCGTCAATAATATATTGAGTAAAAGACTATACTACCAACTTGCATTTCTTTTCAATGTGTTTGATGAGAATTGAAAAATAAAAATGTTATAATTTCATTTAACCTTTTATCCAATATTGTTAATAATGTGTGCAATTTTTCTAGGAATTTAGCCTAAATTCAAGTTCAAACAAAATCTCATGCATACATAACAATAGCTATGTCAATGAGTCGACTCGAAATTCAAAATTCGGGCTCGACACGAGCAAAACAAGTTCGAGTTTTTTTGGGCCCAAGCAGAGCACAAAAAATTTAGACTCGACCCGAGCTTTTTGGCTTGGGTTTTTACGAGCTGAGCCGGCTTGATTTTATTATTTTAAAAAAAATTCGTGACTGCTGCCTACGTTTGTAGGCAGCTAAATTAAAAAAAAAAATTAACTTTTTTTTATTTAAATTACGGGCTGGCCAAGCTACAAGGGCCACCCCGAGACACGAGTCGGACGGCTAGAGATTTTTCCGAGCTTAGCCAACGGGATTTTTTGTCATCCCTATATAACAATCAGATTTCTTACATCTGATGACGTGGATTGTTTTAATTCGCGATATGTCCATCACATCCTAATAGAATTTTGTAATAATAATACGAAAATACCTATTAAAATACCAAGAATGGCGTAGTTACCCAGTACCATCCAATCATACTTCAAAATGTGGTGCATGAAATCGAGCGCAAGAAATGTATAAACTTGTATACATTTAGCATTACATCCTCCCTATCTGAGGGTGGCAGTGGATTGATGTAATTTCAAGATTCAAAATTAATGGTATACATGATGTCACATGGTAGAATGTAAATAATGATATCAAAGATAATGTACATATAGTAGGACTCAAGACTCCTTGTAATGAAAAAACTAGAATACATGAGTATGATTCCATACTCTAATGTGATTGGATCTATTAAGTATTTGATGGTTTGCACTACGCTGGATTTAGCCTTTGCAGTTGGTACTCTTAGTGGTACATGTCTAATCCTAATCCCAGCATTGAGAAGCTTTAAAATGGATGTTGAGGTATTTAAAGGAAATTAGTGATGTAGGTCTAAAGTTTGGTACTAATAAAGAATGTGTGAAATTTGAGGACTTTATAGATGCGGACTATGCAGGGGATGAGGATAATACAAAATCTACTCATTTCTATGTGTTTACTTTGTCTAGCTTTTGCATTAGTTAAAGATCACAGTTATAACACTTGGTTGCACTATCCACTACAGAATCATAATATATTGCTACTACTGAAACAATTAAAGAGGCTTTGTGGCATAGAGGTTTACTTCATGAACTTTATTTTCTAAATGATTATGTAGTAATATATTCAGATAGTTAATCTTTTATATATCTATGCAAAAATCCTGATTTTTAATGAACATCAAATACATTGATGTTATACTATATTTTTATTAGAGATATTTTTTCACAAGAAGTGGTAAGACTTGAAAAAGTCCATACGCAATATAACCCCTCAAACGTGCACTAAAATGTTGTCATTGGTAAAATTTAGAAATTGCAAGGATCTTCTAAATATCGGTGGAGGTAAATAATTTTCAATTTTATTGGTTCCCCTATTTTGGAATTGTCACAAATGGGTGATAATGTTTTCTTGCAGGTCCTTTGACATTAAGTTGGAGATTTGTTGGGCAAATTGTTGTCAAACGACCTCCGGGATTCTGATGTAACTCGGTGTAATTTTCAGTCGGTACCGATCAAAT